AGACATTGCACTGTTCTTTAATTATCATTTAATCTGAATGATTAAGGAGATACAGAGTTGTTTTCTCTGTTCACACTGGTTCCAGCTGCTCTGCAGAGGGTATTGCACTTTTTTGGTAATTGGCTAAGAGGAACTTGCAGTGAGAAAGTGTAGTTGAAAGTCAATAGCCAAGTGAAAGTATTGAGTTCCATCTCCTGATTTAACCACACTTTTAGTGTATTTCTAGGCTCAAGTGAATCCTTGGTTAATGAGCACCACCTCTATATAATGCAAGTCATTCCACTTTTTTATGCCTCAGTTGGAATGTTCTCTCAATATTTCCCTCTCCCAGTCTTTTTTTCTCTTTTCTGTGTGCATTCCCTCCTCTCTTTTATACAGGCAGTCCTTTCTTCTCTGTAACACCTGCCACCTTCTGCTTTGTAAATGTTCCTTACTTTACTTTCCTTGGTCAGTTCTTTTCTCTCTTTCACTCCTACCCCTTTAATTGATTTTTCCTCACTGTTTCATGACCCATCAGCATTCAATTCCACATTTTCCTCATTGTCTCTTCTTTCCTCTCTTCCCTGCTTTATCCGATATTCAAATCTAAATTTTGAAGTAGGTGAGGCCTCCAAGCAAAACATTCTGTTGAAGAAAATAATGTAATAGATAATTCCATGGCTATATAGCTATTAATCCAAAAGCAAAGTTCTTCTATAGTTGAAAATCTGAAATAAAAACAGGAAAGGCTAGATTTACTCATCAGGCCCGTTAGCATCCGTGAAGAGAGGAAGAAATAATATTTCAAGTAGTAATCTTTCATCAGAACATTTAATCATGTTAGTGTGAATTGTCATTTTTAAAAAATGTTTCTTTTGAGTTTGAAAATTTTAGTTTTAGAAAAGATTGAACAATTTCATAAAAATCTTGTGACTTTTGGAGAACAGATATTGCAGCACACTCTGCTGGTGAGGTCCTGCTATTAGTGTTGCATTTACATTGGCAGATTCCTTTGTAAATGTGGATATAGGAATTCACAATGATAATACGAACAATGTAGCAACAGGTAAGGTTTTGACAGCAGGAAATATTTACAGTTTTGAGATTTTTTATCATATTATGGATATATGTATTCATCGAGGACGGGACCATGCTTTAATACAGTGATCTCACGGTGAATTATCTCATTGTGGCTGTGCTTGGAATTTGGGTGGAGTGGGTTTTGTTTCACTCTGTTCTATTTTCAAAAATTTCAAACAAGCATCAGGGCAATTCTAATATTATGAGGACTAAACTTTTCAAAAAATTGGCTTTTTTTTTCCTTTCAACTTATACCTCTATATTTGTATCATTTATGTTGGCTTACATTTACATTTTTCGTTGCTAATCTCATCACACTGAACTCTCTTTGTTTGCCTTAACACCATTATTATTGTAGGCATGCTGAACTTGTGATATCAGTGATCTCCCCAAGATGATTTCTGCTTGTATGTTCAGCTGTTGTATTTATTGTATCATAGCAAGTGTAGTCCCACTTACTGAACCTAAGTGAACTGTTAAAGAAAATATTGGTACTGATGATTAAGGTATACTATATTCTATATTGGAATTTGAGAACAGATGGAATGTAATAACTTGATGCTGACTCAAATGGATCACCACATATACAGTGTGTTTAATTCGTACACTGCATCAACATAACATCTGAGGTACTGTGAACAATTTTTGTCCCCTTATCTAAAGAAGAAATATACTGAAATTGGAGGCAGTCAAGAGATAGTTCACATGATTGATTCCGGGTATGGAGGCATTTTCTTACAAGGAGAGGTTGAGTAAATTGTGCTTATACTCATTGGAGCTTAGAAGAAAGAGACCAGACCTTATTGAAACATATCAGGTTCTGAGGGGGCTTGACAGAGTTGATGTGGAAAGGTTGTTTCCCTTTGTGGGAGAGTCTGGGACCAGCGGGCATAATCTCAGCATAAGCGATCACCATTTAAAACTGCGATGAGGATTTTTTTTCTCTGAGGTTAGTGAATCTGTGCAATTTATTACCATGGTGGGTGTTGACGCTAAGTTAAGTATAGTCAAGACTGAGATAGACATATTTGTGATCATCAGGGAACCAAGGGTTATGGTGATATAGAAAGTAGAGTTAAGTATTATCAGATCAGCCATGATCTGATTGATTGGCAGAACAAACTCATGGTCCGAAAGGCCTGCTTTGCTCCTACATCTTATGGTCTTGTTGTATTATCAGTTAGCTATGTGTATATCAATTTCAGTTTGGAGCTTGCTGTAACAAGAAATCATTTTTGATCCACCAATTGGAGCATTGATACTGACTTTATAAGACCTAAAAAAATGTCTGTATAAGACTCAAATAAAAGTGAATGTTGCAGTATTGCCACTTACTAAAAGCCAGTATATGAAAATTAGTTTTTTGGCCAAATTTAGATCTCAGTTTATATTTGAAAAATGAACAGTAAAATAATAATCCCTGATAATCTTAAAGAAAAATAGATTGAGTTTCCTACTTTTCCTAGCACACTGCAGAACTGCTGGGAAGCAGTCTGAAGTGGCATTGTTGATAACAAAGATCTGAAGGAACAACTCTCCATCTCAGCTATACCAAGCTAAGAAATGTGCAACCAAACATTCAGCCCCATGAGAACAATCTCAGTACAGTGGCAAGACGAGAAGGGTGATCACAGTACAGTGGCAGGACAGGCGGTGGGTGGGGGACTGGTGGTGGTGGTGGTGGGATGTGATCTCAGTGCAGTGGTAGGTTGGTGGGAGGGGGGCGGTGTGTGAGCAATCTCAGTACAGTGGCAGGACAATCTCAGTACTGGACCACAATTATTTATAATAAATGTGAATGTACTATAGCCAAATGTGAGGATGGCACAAAAATAAGCGGGAAAACAAGCGATGAGGCTGACACGGCGAGTCTGCAGAGGAATATAGACAGGTTAAATGAGTGCCCAAAAACTTGGCAGATGGAATATAATTGGGATGCTGTACACTTTGGCAGAAAAAAAAACAGAGGAGCTGATTGTTATTTAGGTGGAGAAAAACTGCAGAAAGCTACAGAACAGATGGAATTGGGAGTCCTTGTCCATGAATCACAAAAAGCTAGTGTCCAACTTCAGTGGACAATAGAAGGCAAATGGAAAGTTGGCCTTCATTTCAAAGGTAATGGAGTACAAAGGTAGGGAGGTTTTTCTAAAACTATATAAAGGCACTAGTCAGACCACATTCTCAATACTGTGAACAATGTTGGGTCCCTTACCTGAGGAAAGATTTGCCTGCATTGGAGGCAGACCAAAGAAGTTTCACTAGGTTGATAGGGAGGTATGGAGGTACTGCCTTATGTGAAAGGTTGATTAGATTGAGCCTGTACTCATTGGAATATAGAAGAGTGAGAGGTGACCTTATTCAAATATACAAAATTCTTAAGGAACTGGACAAGGTAGATGTGGAAAGGTTTTTTGGGGGTGGTCAAGGAGTAAAGGGCGTAGTCTCAGACTAGTGGATTGCACACTAAGACAGCAATGAGGAGGAATTTCTTCTGAGAGTAGTGAATTTCTGGAATTCTTTGCTGTAGAAGTCTGTCAAGGCCACGTCATTAAATATATTCAAGGCTGAGAGAGATTTTTAATCAGTAAGGGTTATAGGGAAAAGGCAGGAAAGTGAAGTTGAGGATTATCTGATTAGCCCTGATATTACTGAATGGCAGTGCAAACTCTATGGGCTGATTTGTCTACTTCTGCTTCTAGGTCTTAAGGAATGCATTACAATTCTACATCCCTTTAAGTCTACTTCAGTGTAGAAACTGAATCCAGTATTTATTTTAACTGAGTCTAGGTAATTTGTTTAATATTTAATGTCTTTTTAAAATGGTACTTGATCTATCAGGATATAGAAGCTGTAATCCAGGAAACTGGTAACCTTAAAACTATTCTAAAAGTTCTATATATTTCACAACTTTACAATCTCAATTTTCAGTCCGTGAATTTAGAAAGCTCAAACAGTATGCAGGAAGAATTAGAATTAGCTTTTTATTTTCACATATATTCACTCACATGGATACAGTGAAAAGTTTACAAGCTGCCGCTTACGGCACCGTCTTAGGTATAAATGCACCTAGACATACAATATTAGTACAAAGTAGAGAAACAAAGAAAGCAAACAAAGAAGTTGAACATTTCAGTCCTACTTACTAAAGCATAGAAAAAAACAAAGAAACACAGTTAATAGTTCAACATCACAGTCCTGGGCTCACATTCTTCACGAGGCTTGACTGCGCCCTTACTGCCCCCTCAGGCTGCTTGCAGGTCGCAGGTCCCCAATGCTGCCTGCTCCTGCTCCTGCTCCTGCTCTCGCCACCAGCCCCTGGGAAACGCTGCCTGCACAATGCTGTGGGGCTACTTACCCATATGCTCCTGTGGAACTGTTCCCTGTGCTGCCCTGGGGCTCACAGTCCACGTGCTGCTGCAGGGCTCACTGCTCTGGGGACTTGCTGCCAGCGCCTGCTGGTGCAGTATTCCCCTCTGGTGCTGAGGAGAGAGAAGAAGAAAAAAAAAATGAAAAAAGGAGGAAAAAGAAATAGTGGAGCTTCAACAGGAGTGTTCTACTCTGCTGCCATCTTGCCACAGAGATTGGATCATCATCAAAATATGCAAAAATATAGTGTGTATTTTTATAGAAGCTATTTGTGCATATTACACATTTTATCATTACATCATGAATGTACCTTTACTGGATGAAATGAATACTCTGCCTTGTGAAAACACTCATGCAAAATAAAAGAATTTAAACAAATGAGTTTTTTTTTACTTTGCCTCAAAGCATCTGCTTTTTTTACTACAGTAATGATTTTGAAAGCTCATTGGCTAGGGTTTGATTATATTTTAAGGTGTACATGTTACTCATCAGTCATTCAATTTCTGAGAAATTTAATGAGCCACTGAATAATGATAAATTTTCAAGTAACTTGCCTCTGTAATTTTATTTTGCAGATCCTCAGTCAGTGGTATGGTCGAACTATTATTCGCTCTTGTGTAAAATTGAGTTATAATCATGCACAAAGTATAATTGAGGATCCAGAAAAAATATTCGCCCCTGATGAATTGCCACCTGTTTCACCTGAGCATTGTGTTACGGACATAAAAACTGCTGTAATAAATCTTCATAACATCGCTAAACACCTTCGTAGGCAAAGGTTTGATGACGGTGCTTTACGATTGGACCAGGTAAGCACCATTTATTTTTAAAGAATACACAAAATGTTACAATTTTAATTGAATCAATATAAAAACATTTATACTAAACACATTTTAAAAGATTAAAAGGACTGTCTGGAAAAAAAAAATCAGATTTCAGATCTGTATTTAACAAGGCTTTGAAAGCGAAGCCTTAAAATGTTTGAGAATAACTGACCTTTGCATTTTTAAGCAAAATGCTGTGAATGGTGGAAGTCCAAAATAAAAACAAAAAATAAACTGAGGAAAAGGTCATCCTAATGAAATATTAACTTTCTTTCCATAGATGCTGCCTGACCTGCTGGGTATTTCCAGCACTTTATTTTGAACATTATGTTTTAGCTAGAGGAACGCCAAGTACTTTATACTGAATTTAAAAATATATTGATGACACATGATATGCTAACACTAAAGTTCAGTACTGTACAAAATAAACATTGCATTTATGTATTGCCTTACATGACCAGAATAAATCTGTGCTTTGTAGCCAGTCAATTACTTGTGAAGTGCAGCCACTGTTTTTCTGAAGGAAACTACAGATTTGAACAAGTCAGGCTCACTGTTATTCTACCCCACATAATACTTTGCCAATTAAAAAAAAGAAATGTTGGAAGTGAACAGGTCAGATACCACTTCTGACTTCACAGAATTAACAGCTTAGGTCAATGGCCTGTCATTAAAACTGAAAACTGTTGAAAATGTGTTGAGAAAGGACAGTAACAAGATAAGATCATCAGAGAGTCTCTGCTAGAATAAAATACAGGAGTGAGCTAATGTCAAAGGTGTAATCATTATTTTTGCCTTTTAATCTCTTGTTCCTTCAACCCATAACAGATCTTTTCTGTTGTTCTTGTCCCTGCTTCCTCTTCCCTGCCTCTGCAGTTGCCCAAAACCTGCTAAATCTGTAACTTCTCTCAGGGCTGACGAAAGGTATCACCCTGAAAATTAAACTTTGTACCTCTGTTCACAAATGGTGCCTGACCTGTGAATATTTCCAGTATTTTCAGTTTTTCTTTCAGATTTCCAGCTTCCATGGGCATTTTGCTATTTCTTAGCCTAGTTGGTGCAGGTAACTGTTGCTTGAGGTCATGGACTTCTTCTTGAAGAAATAGTCTCCTCATGCTGTAGCTAATGCAATTTGTATCTGACAGTTCAGATCAGGAACAGATGACTCCTGGGTGTAATTTATAAATCTTGCATTCCTTTTAGCATGGATACTGTATGTCTTAGGAAGCACTGAGTTAAAAATAGGCAGATATGACCTGGGTTCGATTCCACTCTCGGGTAACTGTCTGTGTGGAGTTTGCACATTCTCCCAGTGTCTGCGTGGGTTTCCTCTCAGTCCAAAGATGTGCAGGCTAGGTGGATTGGCCATGCTAAATTGCCCATAGTGTTCAGGATGTGTAGATTAGGTGGGTTATGGGGGGGTGGGATGCTCTCAGGGTCAGTGTGGACTTGTTGGGCCAAAGGACTTTTTCCACACTGTAGGGATTCTATGAACTATGAAAAATATGGTAAATCTGTATTGCATTTAGTTGTTATTAAGGCAGGCTGTGTTATTTTTGTTAAAATAGCAAAATAGGAAACTGGAAATAAATGTATTTATCTTAATTCCTACATCCTCTAATCTGTATTACAAAGTAATACTCTTAACATATAAAATTTAGGTTTTTAGGCATCAAAAGTCATTTTTTTTTCCTACGCACTCATTTCGACTACTTTCATAACGCTCAGCATAAAATTGACTGGATGCTCTCGAAGCAATTTGACAAAAGAGCATTTTTGGCAAGTTCTCTGAAAACCTATTATTTTTGGGAGGTAGATTTTGGAAAGGTGCAGAAGTAATAGGGTTGTTGTCATGGGTGACTTCAACTTCCCCAATATCGACTGGAACATCCCAAGTACAAATAGTTTGGATGGAGCAGATTTTGTTAGGCGCATCCAGGAAGGATTTATGACTCAAATATGTAGATAGGCCAACTAGAGGGGAGGCCATTATTGGATTTGGTGCTTGGCAATGAACCAGGCCAGCTGTCAGATCTCTCAGTGGGAGACCATTTCGGTGATAGTGATCACAACTCCCTGACCTTTACTATAATCATGGAGAGGGATAGGAGCAGATGGTATGGGAAAGTATTTAATTGGGGGAGGGGGAATTACAATGCTATTAGGTAGGAACTGCAGAGCATAAATTGGGAACAGATGTTCTCAGGGAAATGTGGAGTTTGTTTAGAGAGCACTTGCTATGAGAACTGGATAGGTTTGTCCCATTGAGGCAACGAAGGGATGGTAAGGTGAAGGAGCCTTGGATGACAGGACATGTGGAACATCTAGGTCAAGAGAAAGAAGGAAACTTACTTAAGGTTGAGGAACCAAGGATCAGACAGGGCTCTAGAGAGTTACAAGGTAGCCAGGAAGGAACTGAAGAATGGACTTAGGAGAGCTAGAAGGGGTCATGAAAAAGCCTTGGCGGGTAGGATTAAGGAAAACTCCAAGGCGTTCTATACTAAGGTGAGGAACAAGAGGATGGCCAGAATGAGGATAGGGCCGATCAGAGATAGTGGAGGGAGCTTGTGCCTGAAGTCGGAGGAGGTAGGGGAGGTCCTTAATGAATACTTTGCTTCAGTATTCACCAGTGAGGGATCTTGACGTTGGTGAGGACAGCGTGAAACAGGCTGATATTCTCGAACAGATTGATGTTAGGAAGGAGGATGTGCTAGAAATTTTGAAAAACATGATAGACGGGCGAGACAGGATATACTCGAGATTACTACAGGAAGCGAGGGAAGAGATTGTTGCGCCTTTGGCAATGATCTTTGCGTCCTCACTGTCCACTGGAGTAGTACCAGATGACTGGAGGGTGGCAAATTTTATTCCCTTCTTCAAGAAAGGGAATAAGGATAATACTGGGAATTACAGATCAGTCAGTTTTACTTCTGTGGTGGGCAAATTATTATTAGAGAGGATTCTGAGAGACAGTATTTATGATTATTTGGAAAAGCATACTTTGATTAGAAATAGTCAGCATGGCTTTGTGAGGGGAAAGTCATGCCTCACAAGCCTTATTGAATACTTTGAGAATGTGACAAAACACATTGATGAAGGTAGAGCAGTGGATGGTGTATAAGGATTCTGGCAAGGCATTTGATAAGGTTCCCCATGGTAGGCTCATTCAGAAAGTAAGGATGCATGGGATTCAGGGAAATTTGGCTATCTGGATAGAGAATTGGCTGTCCAGTAGAAGACAGAGGGTGGTAGTAGATGGAAAGTATTCAGCCTGGAGCTCGGTGACCAGTGGTGTTCCACAGGGATCTGTTCTGGGACCTCCACTGTTTGTGACCTTTATAAATGACTTGGATGAGGAAGTGGAAGGGTGGGTTCGTAAGTTTGCCGACGACACGAAGGTTGGAGGAGTTGTGGATAGTGTGGAGGGCTGTTGTAAGTTCCAGTGGGAAATTGACAGGATGCAGAGCTGGGCAAAGGAGTGGCAGATGGAATTCAACCGGGAAAAGTGTGAAGTAATTCATTTTGGAAGGTTGAATTTGAATGCAGAATACAGAGTTAACGGCAGGATTCTTGCCTGTGTGGAGGAACAGAGGGATCTTGGGGTCCACGTCCATAGATCCCTCAAAGTTGCCACCCAAGTTGATAGGGTTGTTAAGAAGGTGTATGGGGTGTTGGCTTTCATTGGCGGGGGATTGAGTTTAAGAGCCGCAAGGTTATGCTGCAGAATTCTATAAAACCCTGGGTAGACCACACTTGGAATATTGTGAGAGATAGTAGGAACTGCCGATTCTGAAGCATCTGAGATAACAAGGTGTAGAGCTGGATGAACACAGCAGGCCAAGCAGCATCAGAGGAGCAGGAAAGCTGATATTTTGGGTCTGGACCCTTCTTCAGAAATTTTGGAATATTGTGTTCAGTTCTGGTTGCCTCATTATAGGAAGGATGTAGAAGTTTTAGAGAGGGTGCAGAGGAGATTTGCCAGGACTGGACGGCAGGTCTTATGAGGAAAGGTTAAGGGAGCTAGGGCTTTTCTCATTGGAGCGAAGAGGGATGAGAGGTGACTTGATAGAGGTGTACAAGATGATGAAAGGCATAGATAGAGTGGATAGCCAGAGATTTTTCCCCAGGGCGGAAATGACTATTATGAGGGAGCATAATTTAAGATGATTGGAGGAAGGTATAGGGGAGATGTCAGAGTTAGGTTCTTCACACAGAGAGTGGTGGGTGCATGGAATGCACTGCCAGTGGTGGTGGTAGAGTCAGATACATTAGGGACATTCAAGCGACTCTTGGATAGGCACATGGATGATAGTAAAATGAAGGGTATGCAGGTTAGTTTGATTTTAGAGTAGGATAATAGGTCAGCACAACATTGTGGGCTGAAGGCCCTGTACTGTTTTATGTTCTATATTTATTTCTGTCAATGAATTTTAAACAAAGTGCCCATCTAATAATAACGTTACCTTTTAAATATAAAAAAATTGAATTATGTAATGATTGATATTAAGCAATTTAAATAATAAAGCAAAATGTGATAGAAACACTTAGAAATATTTAAATTATCAGACAATTCAAATTAAGTGGCTTTGGATAGAAGCAAACTTCATTACTTGGATGCTCTATAGAAATATATAGGGAAATATACATTTGTCTCCTTTTGCTTAATACCTATATATTGATTTGAAACTGATTTATTGCAGTTCTGCTGATTGTTTACTGCCCATTTTGCCAACTGTATTGTTCAGCGGAATTTATAACTCTTCACAGATTTGTTGTAAGAGCTTGCATATTTGTAGACAGTACAATGACTATCAAATATTTTACCTAGAGCCACTTTAATCATGCCTGGACTTGAAATAATTATATTTGTGCAAGATTCAATTCATAATCATAATTGTTATTAAGTCATATTTTCTGATGATCTTTTAGTAGTGTGTATTGGCATAAATTGTTTTACAAATGTACGTTGAAGTACATATTTAAAA